TGATGAACCATGTTGATGGAGAGCTCAGGGTGACCACTGAGCAAGCAACTGCATTTCATTCTTTGCAGCCTCAAGTCCAGGTCAATGTGCCACAAAGGTTGACATCATCTTTTTCCCACTTTCTTTCCCAACCGTTACATGGGTCATCATGTGCTCAGAGACGACTGTGTTGCATTAGAGCATTAATGCTAGCTAATTTCTATGTAAAATTCCATATGGCTAAAATCCAGTGTATATTTTGTGCCTTCTGGAAGACTGCGTTGAATGAGAAATAAACAGGGATAGAAAATTTCAAAGCTTCAGCTTCAAGCCCTGTTTTATTTAAAGCTGGCAGTTTTATCTCTGCATCATTCATTATGCCTTTATTCCACTTCATTTACGTAAACACCAATGAGGCTTCAAAGAGAAAACTTTTATTTTTCCATTATCCTTAGGTCTATCTTAATGCAAGTGTGATACAGAGCAATAAATTGCTTTCAGCTAAAGTATCATTTTCTTCATTTTTTTTCTTCTCTCTCTTTTCTTTTCCTTCTTATTTTCTTCTTTCTTTATCATTAATTCATGTTGGTACCTGACACAAGCACAAAACCACATCCTGTGACTACCAGTTCATACAAAATCCTAAACACCTTTCCAGACACTTCACTAAGGAATGTTAAAACCCACAGAGCTGTGCCAGGATAATTCTAAGTATTGTAAGATTGATCTCCTTTTAAATGAATGAATCCCTTTTTAAAAGGTTTTTCCATCAGCATGGTAAGAAAGGCATTGTCCTAGGAAATAATTTTAACAAAGACTGATTTCATAGTTTAAGGTACTTGGCCATGAGACTGATTTCAGTGAAGAAGAAATTCGGAGATGTAGAAACTGTGACTCACGTCCATATCAAAAAAAGTTTGCACATGATTTTGGAACTGCTCTTTCAGAGATACAGCCTAGTTTCTTGGACAAGAATCTTGATTTTACAAAGGTAACATTTAGAGTGATGGGGAGAAAGTAAGAATATTTCTTGGAAAGATAGGGATGTGAGTCTTAATTTCTACTTCTCAGTCTCTTCAAAGGACAACTCAATTTGGTTAAACAATTAAATAGTAATTGAGACAGAGAAAAATAGAGAAACTAACTGCACAGGCATATGGTCTTTGAAAAACAACAGATCCTGATTAAAGTCCCTGTTCCTAATGGGAGGGAAGAGACACTTGAATCTTCGTCTTCCACATACTCTGTGTGCACGCTACACTACTTGCTATTCCGGATTTCAAGAAAAGCTTTCAGAGGTCTTGAAAGTCCTCCCTATCTTTCTGTACAAAATCCAATTTAGAAAAGGGTCAAATTTTAAGAAGTAATACTCCAGAAGAATTAGATCAGTGAGTGAACCATTTCAAACTCTGTCCAATTTAATCATCTTCCTCTCTGATTTTTTTGTTCTACTTGACAGTCAAAAGTAAAGAAATAGAGGGAAGGAAGGAAAGGAAGGAAGAGGGGGAAGGAAGGAAGGAAGGAGCAGGAAGGAAGGAAGGAAGGAAGAAGGAGGAGGAAGAAGGAAGGAAGGAAGGAAGGCATAGTGGAGGGAGTATTGACTCGGCGGTATCTGGGCGTCTCTATCGATTCCCTCGCGCGCACTCTCCGCTCCCCCTCCCCTCACATCCACCCCGCCGCCCACCGCACTACGCCTCCAGACCGCCCTCCCTCCCTCCGCCCGCCCTCCCGCACCCCCGCCCTCCGCACTCAAAGACCGCCCCCCTCCATCCGCCCGCCCTCACCCTCCATCCCCAGCCGCACCTCCCCGCCCGCCCGCTGTCCCTCCCGCCCTCCCGCCCTCCCTCTCCCTCCTCCTCCCTCCACGCCACCCCCTCCCCCACCCTCCCCTCCCCCTCCCCCCCTCCCGCCCGCCCTCCGTCCCTCCTCCCGCCGCCCATATACCTCCCCCCTCCCCCCCTCCCTCCCTCCCCGCCACCCTCCCCCCCCCCCCTGTTCACTTGTTGTGATCTTTTGAAATATTCTAAAAAGGGATTGTCTTCCTTAAGGTGAATGGAAAGGTATATAGCCTTCAGCACTCCACTGTCCTTTCCAACCAGTGAATCTTTGGGGAAATGTCAGTGAAACTGCAGAAGTATTCACATGAACTTGTTTTCCTGTTACCCACAATTTTATGAGAAGTTCTCTGGCCTGCCCAGACTGCCGTGTACTGCAGGGACTGCAGCTCCTGCCAAGCTGGGAGAGCTCTCATGTAAAGAAGTTTTTAAAAATTCAGGGTTGGTCCAAAATGCCACCTCTGTGAGACCTAGGGTTGCTCCAGTACCACATCAGAGAAATACTCATGATTCAGAGGAGTTTATTCCTGAGAATCAAACTCAGATAAAGATCCTTAGTCTGATAAAATATTCATACCGATATTTTATATTGAGATTTAAATCCCTGACTGAGTTAGCTGCACCCCTTGTTGTTTTAATATCCACACATTTTATTTGCTTCGAAACTTCTTTTTTAATAATCCTTATTAAAATCTTCTTTTATTTTCAGCTAGATTACAGAAAAAGCTTACTATAAGCAGAAAGCTCCTCACTAATCTCCAAAACTCCATGGAAAGTGGATCTGTTATGGTGCTCTCTCTGATCTTACAGCTTCTCTACTGATCTTATAAAAATTGTTTTATTCATAATTTCTCCTTTTCTTTTCTTTAAAAAAAAATATTGTTTCTTTTTCAGTATATCAGGGTAGCAGATATGAACTAAAGGAAAAAATAAAACCATTCTTTAATTCTGACTTTAAAGAAAGCTGTAGAAATAACCCCCGGTTCACTCAAAGAACTATTTTTATTCCATTTTTAAGCATGACCTTCAAAAAAAGACAAAACACCTTCTTCAGTGCCTTGAAATTCCTGCAGATGGATCGAAACCTGCATCAATGAAATCAAAGCTTAGCGCTCCCAGTTGCAGAGGACCCATGCAATGCAGGGAGAAGCACCCCTCCCAAAGACATTAAAACAAGTCTGTTTAAGCAGATTTGAACATTTTCTCAGATAGCCTGTTTTATGTCACCTCTGTGGGACTAGACCCTGCCAGGCAGAACTCCTGTGGCTCCTTCAGAAAAGCCACTTTGTACCTTGCTTTTGTATGATCAGAGAGCAGCACCTCTGCACAATCAGCCAGCAGCCCCAAATCTGCTGCAGGATGAGTGCCCCCTGCCATTTAATGATGTGCCTCTAGGACAACGCACGTTCTTTCATTTGCCTCGAGCCTGCAGTTTTATGCTGGACATTATATTTGGTTCCTTCCCACTTCTGTGCCGTGAAAAAAAAAATCAAAATTGTAAATTCCTTCCTTTACCCCTTTCTGTGCTATTTGTGATCCATACCACATTCCAGCAGACTTCTCCTTCTTCTATTTTGAGTCCATTTAACCTGTCGTTGTACAGGAGCTGCTACATATTTTGTAACAGTGCTTTCCATTCCTTCAATGATTCTGTTCCTTTTCCACAGTTTCCCCTGAGGCAGGGCACTTGGCACTGCACACACAGAGTGCAGATGATGTGCCAGGACTTACACAGCAGCATGGCACTGTTTTCTACTTTATTTTCTTTGCCTACAGTTCCTCCCATTGCATTTTTGGCTGTAGCTGAGCTCACTGTGGGGGCAGAACAAGAAGAGATTGAAACACTGTCACATCCATTCAAAAACACCTAGCATTCAATTTTGCACTTCTGTCAACTCTTTATCAGTGACCGTAGTGACAGGACAGGAGTGATGCTTTTAAACTAAAAGAGGGTAGGTTTAGATTCAATATAAGGAGGTAATTCTTTACTATGAGGGTGGCAAGGCACTGGAACAGGCTGCCCCGAAGAGCTGTGAATTCCCCATCCCTGGCAGTGCCCAAGGCCAGGTTGGATGGGGCTGGGGGCAGCCTGGGTTGCTGGGAGGTGTCCCTTCCTATGGCAGCAGGCTGGAACTAGATGGGCTTTAAGGTCCCTTCCAGCACAACCCATTCTATGATTCTACGATTTTAACTCCTACAGCCTCTGAGCCTTGGCTGAATAGATTTACAGACAAATTATTGCTAAGGGGGAGAGGATAAGCATGGGTGGAAAAGCTCCCAAGGGCTATTGAGCCTTTCCTTGCACCATCGCTTTACCTCTTTCAGTAATGCCTAGCAAGTTTTTTTGTCATGCATTGTCTGTCATGTTAACAGTAAAAAATGAAAATGAACAACACTGAGTTCTTTCCTTTTCTCTCCAGAGCTGGACTTGTCTACTTGTGCCACCCAGAAAACCCCTTCCAGCCATTGGAGTCCAACCTCAGCATTGTTGTTGCTCCAGAGAGGCTCCAGTTGCATTTTCCTGCATACTTTCGTCCTCCACCTCCCATGGAAGTTGGGCTCAACCCCACCCCACCCCAAAAACACTGCAGCATGCTGGGGACATTGCACAAGAGCCAGGACAGCCCAACTGCAGAGCACAGGGCAGGAGGACCAGCTCCAGGAAGAGTTTCTGGGCTCTCCTTTGCAATTATGTATTTGAGCCACCAGTCTTTGCATAGTACAGTACTAATAAGAGAGAGTGCATCCCACTAACAAGTCTCAATAGGGAACAGCAAATTAAAAAACAGGCCAGGTAGCACTCCACTGGACCAGGATGGCCAAAGCGTTGTACCTTCTGAAGCCTGATTTGTAGGATCCCTTAACCAGAGCTGCCCACTGTCTCCTGGGTTCATGAGGGCAGAGGGGAAGAGGTGAAGACAGGGTTTTGTTCTTTAAAGAATTCTTTCAGAGTGGCAGAGACGAATATAAATCTCAGGTTTTTGGGTGCTTCTCATCATGCCAAAATAGGCTTTACCCTCTTCCTGTATCCACTCAAGTCATAGCAAAGCTCTATAGACAGACACATAGGAGACACACTTGCACTGGAAGGGCACCATTAGCAGCCTTGATGTAAAAACTTACAACTTTATAACCAAAACCCAGAGACAAAACATGTAACAACATCAATCCATTCTCCTTCTTTATTTGAAAGAGCATTCAGATAACAAAGTGTGGATGATAAAGTCTACTTGTGATGCCATCAATCTGGCTGTGTGTTTAGATGAATAAAAAAGGGAGAGAAAAATGAAAATAACCAATCTGTTTTTTCAGTACAATGACAGCAAAGTGTCCCCTGTTAAGTACAGCCAGTATGCTGTGTTATTTACTGCTTCATAACATAGTATAATACATTAACGACATATTAACTCATCAACACCACTTGAGAAGTTACATAAAAAGTTATTTACAGGTTCACTCCATGACTCTCCTCTTACAATGTCCTAGGATGTTGCACTGACACACAACACATTTAAAACATTTACAGACAATAGTAATTGAATTTCATATTGTGAATTACAAGGCTGTAGCAGTTTATGAATGCTCCCACCATTCTTACCTCTGAGGCTCATTAATAATCATACTCAAATCTTCCAAGACTCTTTGAGCTCCAGCATACCGAAAAATGCAGAAATAAATATTTTAGAAAGTTATGTATTTCTTAATTTTGTACAAGAGTATAGAACTTTGAATGTTGCTTGCAATACCAACATGTTATTATGGGAAGTTCTGCTGCATGATCCAGTAGGCCATTGGGTTAAATGCTTTTTTTTTTTTTTAATATAATGAAGCAGAACATGGAAGTAGCTGAAATCAGCATCAGGAACAACACAGCCTTCAGCCTTTCTTTCCTTTATGCTAATGGCCAAGTAAAATGCTTACTGTAATTGGTACCTCCTCTCAGCAACAGAGACCATGGTAGCTCAGGGCCTAGATATCGAAGAGCTGGAGAAATAACCCCTAGATAGGTGGATGCATCTGGCATTTCTTTTGTTGGGTATGTTTCCATAAAGCTGGGCTGTCAATTGGTTGTACTGGAATTGCTTCTGGTTTGTTTCATTTATAAGCAAGAGAGGAGCCCAGCCTTTGCCTACTTTCCCTCCTCCCTGTGGACCCAGGTGCTTTATCACACTTCTTGTAAAAGAGCTGCAACTCCATCAAGGCTGGTAAGGCCACTACAGTGGAATACATGCAAGACAAATAGGAAAGGCAAGACCATTTCTTACATTAGAAACACTGGAAATAGGTATAGACCCTAGACTTCTAAGGATGTGCATAACTGTTTTCAGCAGGAAGGAATCTGACCCCCTAAACAGAGAAGGAGGAAGCTATCTAATATGTGCCTGTGGTTTCTTACTCTAGAATAAAGCATAAGTCAGTATCATGACATTAAAGGCAAATACGGTTCTGACAAACTGAAAAAAATGAAACAGAAAATATAACACATACACTAAAAACTACATTGAATTAATCTCTTAACAGGACATACCTCCTTAGAATATAATAGAATGGTTTGGTTTGGTTTCATTTACTTCCAACCCCCTCTCCCCCAACATAGGCAAGGACAGCTTATTAGATCAGGTTGCTGAAAGCCTTATACGACCTGGCCTTGAACACTTCGAGGAAGGGGGCATCCACGGCTTCTCTGGGCAACCAGTGCCTCGCAGTGAAGAATTTCTTCCATATGTCTTCATCAGTAGCAGGAATTTCTTTGTAAACAATGAATACATCTAAGCTTTGAGATGACATTGGAATTTCAGCTATTTCGGATCAGTATCTCTAAAAGTCTACTGACATCTTTGTAAATTTAACTTTATCGGAAATACAATTTCTAAGAATGAAAATCACAATCCACTAGCAAATGTTTTTCCAAAGGTAATTTCTCATGTAATTTCCCTGAGGTTATTTGGTATACTTTAATCATTCTTAGGTTCCAGATGTATTATCATATTTTCAAAATCTTGATTGCATAACTGAAAATAGCTTTTTTCCAAGGAATTACTGATATAACAGCAGAATATGCATCATTTTAATTTGGCTTGAACTGCAAATGTTTCAAAATGATACTTCTCTAAAAAAAATCATCTAATAACTGAGAAAGCAAAGCTATTGCTTCCATTACAAAGCTTTACTTGGCATCCATATATGCCACTGCATTGCACCAACTTTGGACTTCGAAACCACTTCATTAAACATGGAGTTTCATCGTATAACAGACCTTTTTAAACTCTTTTCAGTGTAATAACAGTCTTTACAATTTAGCCATCATTATGATGGGGTCAGCACACATTTCCCTACCAATACAGACATGTCCTAATATAAGATAGTATCAACCTTTAAATTAGGATTTTATTTTATTTTTTTTTTTCAGAAAATAAAATAGCAGATATTGGGAATAAAATTACTATTTAGAAATATTTCCAGTTGTAAATCATTTCTGCTAGTAGATCAGATAATCTGGTCATGCATATCTGGTAAATCATGACCTAACTTCTCCCTTTGAGATCTCTTCCAAAACCTGATTGCTCCTCTAGTTCAGAAGGTCTCATCACAGCTTTTCCTGCTTTAGCTTCCAGATTTGATTTCTCATTCTATCACCTTCAGAGACTGTGAATAATTCCCTTCCTTCATTTACATTATTATTGCCTTAAAGCTATTTATAGACTGATATAATTTACTATCAGACTTTTTCTCTCCTAGGCTACTTAACTTAACCCTGTCTTCTTCTCTTCTTAGGTTCAGTTGCTTATACATGATTACTATTTTCTTTCTTTCTTTCTTTTTTCCCTACTATACTTATTTGTTGTAAATCTTTCATAGGATCATAGAATATGTTGGGTTGGAAGGGACCCACAAGGATCATCGATTACAACTCCCAGCTCCACACAGGACCACCCAAAAATATGCCTGAAAACATTGTCCAAATGGTTCTTGAACTCCAGCAGGCTTGGTGCCATGACCACTCCCTGGGGAGTCTGCACAACCAACCTCTTTAGCTTTGAGACCACAACTGTAGGAAGCCAGACGAGTTCTTCTCAACACACCAAACAATTTAAAATAATGCTTGTAATCCAAGATAAAGGATGTTCAGATCCTTTAGAGGAACACTTTTAAGTTTTGCAAACTGCAACCATGAATGCAACTTTATTTATGTTTTGCAAGATTGGTGCAGAAAGAGCAAGTCTTTCACACCAGTCTCTGGTTTGAGAAGCAAAGCCTCTGTGTGGTTCCTTTTAGAAATTGGGAAGAGTGAGAAGAAATTAAAAACATTATTGATCATTTAAAATGCATCGTATACCACATGCTCTGTCCACTGTCTATCATTGTAATATGTATTCTGTGCTACAATAAGGTTTTGGTCAGAGCACTCATATGTATACTTGGTATTTCATATATATGTTTGTCATTTTACACAAAGGTTAAGAGATCTACTCCCCAAATTCCTTTTAGGTGCTACATCCAAAATATAGACTAAGTGTCTATCATACTGACATGGGAAATCTTATAAATCTGAACTGTTTACTAGCATATTTCATCCATATGTTGCACAAGTTATCTGTTGAGATGGTGAATGTTCCTCTTAGAATAGATCTCTATAGAATAGAATGGGTGGTAGGCTTTTTTTCTTTACCCACTTGTGGCATGAAACTATAATCAGTGTCCGATGAAGGCTGATTATACATAATTAGTGAAGAATCCTTTAAGTTCAGAAATAATGAAAACCTGAAACCCTGTAACCAAACCTTATATTTCAAAAGATTTTGTTCTGACTTCTAAATCCAATAGCCATTTCTTGAGCTACAAATTAATATGGAGGAATAACTGGAGCAGTGATCATGCCAGGCAATTACAAAATCGTCCAAATCTCCATCTACCAAATAAGGGGTAATATGAGTCATCCTGAAAAACAAAACAAGCATAGAAATAACAGAAATAGAAAAGTCAGTATGGGATGTACAATGGCTTAAGAATACATGTAAGCATGGTCATGAAAATAAAGGCCTCTTCCCTTCTTTGCAATGCTCTAAACTCAGCAATAGCACTCCAGAAACTCTAGTTTCAGGTGTTCTTCCTTGAGGTTGAAGAACTACAAAGATTTGTGGTGCTAGGCAAGATGCAGATGCAGAGGAAACTAACCAATCGTTCATTTTAAGAGAGAGGAGGGAGAAAAATGGGTGTTCCAGTGAACATTATTTATTAAGAGCTTCAAACCATGAAGCATGAGTCATCTGGGAACACCATGAGCTGGGAAATGTAGCTAAAAAGATGTCAAAGCAACTTCCCTGAGGGATGCACATTGAAGTGTCTGAAAGGCCCTGGTGGGAAGAAGAAGTAGAATAATGAGAATGAAGCGGATAATGCGGAGTTATAGAAGAACTAGGTGCCTGCTCAGTTAAGAGAAATTCAGATTTGTTCTCACAACTAAGATCACCCTGCACACTGGAGGTGTAACATTGTCCAAAAGACATTGTCAATACACCATCGTCCAATAGAAAAGTTCTGCCAAATAATATAATTCATTGACATTGCACCTGTCAATTCATTAATGATATTCCCTTCATACGAAGATTCACCAATTTGCTCTTTCCCTTTGGATGTCACAAAACCAAAGATCTTCTTCTGGCTGGGATCTTTTGCTGTAGGCCATAAATCTTGGTGGTTTTTGCTGTTGTGGTTATGTTTTTTTGTTTGTTTGTTTGTTTGTTTTGTTTTGTTTTGTTTAGGAAAAAATCTGTTTGTTTTTTTTCCCCCATTTTTAGTCATTATTACTGCAGGTGTAGAAAGAAATTTTATTGTGGTCTCTTTTATCTGCATGGACAAATACTTTTAAAATCTTCAGGTTTACAACCACAACTTTCATTTTTAGTGTTCCACTTTTTCCAATTATTTTTTCTACCTTAACAGTTTGCTTAATTCCTCTATTTCTAGTATCAACACCTTTCCAGTATTATAAATCTTGACAGCTACTTCTGTGTTATCAACAGATTTCCAAGTCTGTGGAGGAAGGTTCAAAGGCATTCTACGACTATGACTGGTAATGACCAAATCAAAAGTCTTCATATCCACTTTCTTCAGATGATTTCACTGCCCGTAACCTTGAAATGCAGAGCATTGGCTTAATCTCACTGGAACAATCCTACTGCCCAGGTCAGCTCATTATCTAAATGGAATTTTAACCTGTGTCAATTATATCCTTCTAGCCACTGAATTCAGCTAATACTTTGCTTCTTGGCAGCTTATTCTGCATGCATACATAGGATACATAACATTTATAGCTATTATTCTTATTGGCACTATTTTCATTGAAAATCGTTTGTTCTAATGTTAATACATAAAATGAGAAACTTTCTTAATATAACAAGGAGGCTGACATATTGAAAATGCAATAAAAATCTTCCTTTAGAGTCATGTTTCTTATTCATTCACGCTGACTGGGTTTTACTTTGCTTTGACTAAGCTCATGAGTTTGAATCTTAGAAAATATTTAGAAGGTTTCTTGAACAAAAAGTAAGAGATTCACTGTCTCTTGGTAACCTCAGGACAAGGTTACATGTTATACAACTATGAATTATCAGGCTCAACATATGGAGAAGACAAAGCTCTGTCCTGAGCATAAATGGAAAATTGCCTTTTGAACCATCAGGCTACAGCGTTCAATGAGATTCCAAGTAGACCTTGAAAATTTTAATCTATAATAAGACCCCTTAATACCCCTACCATTATGATCACAAATTAATTATACGGTCTTCTTTATACAGGTGGACAAAGAAAGTCCTCTAGTTCTTTTTTATCAAGGATTTGGATGAGATCCATTAGCTTTTAGGTTCATATTCTGCATTTAAATTACTGTACTGCATGCTTGAATGTTTATGTCTTACTTGACTCAGGAAAAGATCTTTAGAAGTAAAGAAGTAAACTTTCTTTACTTAAACTCAGTATAAATCTATCTCTAACTCCTGCTCAAATTGGAGTCCTAGCAACTTGTACAGAGCAAGATACTATTCAGTGGTGGTAACACTTTGTCTTCAAATAAATATAATTATGGTACTGAACAGAAAATAAATACTTTTAAATAAATCATATGAAACACATTCATCATGACCCTAGAAATTCATATTTGCAATTTAGTAAACCTCTGGTATATTCAGAAAACACATGTATCTAGAACATTCCCTATAATGGAATCCAAATATATTATACAGCCTTTAACAATATAAAATTCAGACCTACCACACGTATGTAATCATTTTTGGGATAACTCAGCAGCCGTTTATAAGTCAGTACATAATTTTAGAAAGTAAAGAGAAGAGCTTCCCTAGCTGAAACTGCAGGAAAGTCTCCTGAAAAATTGTGAGTTGATCTACGCAGAAATCTGGCTAGACTCTGGGTAACTCCTACATTACATACTACTCTTCCATACCAGCAACTTTTCTCCAATTAATCTGCATTTATTGGGCCACAGTATGTCCTTACATCAGACCTAAGTTGGGATAAATCTCTATAGATATCAATCAAAATTTGTCTGGATGAAGAGAGGAATAAAAGCTGAGGAAAAACAAAGGGAAAATGGTTAATGGCGTCATAACCAAATCTGGAAATATTGTAAAGTACGACTTCTGCTCATAATCGATTCTAAGGTGCAACTTGCAACCACAGTCAGGAAACAAAATTGCCTTATAGTGCAAGGTCCAAAACGGTAAAAGGACTTGAATTCCTGGGAAAATTTAGCACAAAACATTGTATAGGTAACATGCAACTCCTTGTCTTTTTCTGAGTTCTCTTAGTGTATATTTAAACTTCTTTTGCAAACATATTGTACGAGAGGGAATTATACTTTCTTCTACCCAGCTCAGGAAATTCAACAAAATTCAACTTCTGCTATATTGTCTGAATACCACTTGAGAAAATAGCAAGTGTTTGTACTGCCGAGTGGGAGTGCTGGGACATGCCAACAAACATCAGTTTACTTTAAACTTTTATGATATTATTGTATAAAATGCGATTAACATCACTACAGATCAGCTACAAAAGAAGTTCAGTTCAGTATGTTAAACATGATTGTGAAATAACAGTACGATAAAAAGTGCTATTAAATGTTAAACAGGAAAACAATCAAAACACTTTCATAAATGCTTTCTCTCCTTAAAGGAACAATTCAAAATAAAATTTTAACTCTTGAAACTTTTTTTTTTTTTATAATAGTAAACACAAATCAGTGTGGAAGATTCTGACTTACAATTAACTTATTTTACATAATACCATGTTCTTCCTGAAGAAATCACAGAAAAAAAAAAAAAAAAAAAAAAAAAAACACCACAATTATTATTTGAAGAGTTAATAATCTGCTTATAATGGACTGCTAATATTTGGTCTGTAATGATGCCTCTATCTTAAGGTAAATCTACAGAGGAAGAAGAGAATGGGAATAAATATGACCCAGATGCCTCATAACTATTTGGCTGCCTTACTCTGAAAATCTTTTCAAGGTATATTGTCAAGGTATATTTAATGTATTGAGAACTTACATGCTGTCTTCAGGTCTGTCTGAATACTTTTTAATCTTCATACTTGCAGGGTTTAGTGTTTAAAAATTAGACACAACTGCACCTGAAAAAGACTTCTGCGTACATATGCTGTAACGTTTCTCTTGAATTCATCATCTTTGAATCCAATCGGAAACTTAGGATTGAGGAGGGATTTGTCATTTTACACTTAATAGCGATGTCATGAAGGATTGTGGAAAGTACAATACAAGATGAAAAAGGTCAGTTACCATTTAATAAGTCAAACGTCTGCTTATTGTCATATTTCATGGCATTTTTGGCTGGGGAATGCCAAAAGGATGGGAAAATTATTTGTTTGCCTAATTTATAACACAAGGCTGACTTCATTTATGTTTTCATTTTTGTTACGAAGTAACTCATGATTCAAAAATATTTAAATGAAACTAGCATCTGAGAAAGAGGTCTTTCCCCTCTAATTCACAAATACTGATCATCTGTGGTACGTGTGACACTTCTGAACTTGCCTTCACCAAAAGAAATAAAAATCTGAATACTGAAAGACAGAAATCAAAGTGGTCTTAAGACAGTTTGTAGCCACATGAGTTTTAGAGAGATTCACAAAGGTAATCAGTAGGCTAACATTGCTATATTTCTCCAATGGGTGATTCAGAGCTCTGACAAATGGAGTTCTAACTTTGATTTGTCCTCTAAGGAATCGTTTCTGTTATGCTCCCATTCTCCAGTGATTGTACTAGGAACTCAGGGAAATTGAATTTAGCAAACTAAAACTGGCCTATGTGAATAGTTTCCCTTTCTTGAGGGAAAACATCACTGAAATATCACTTCTGTTAATGCTCAAAAAAAAAAAAAAAAAAAAATCCCAAGCAAACAAAAAATATATTCACTCTGAAGTGAATGTAATTTCTTTTACACAAATTAATCTTCTTTGTTTCTTCCATTTCTGAAAACTTAAAATATTTGCCCAGCTCTAATCACGCTGCTTTAGTTAGGATGGAAAGAACTACATTGTACTGGGGAGTAAAATAAAAATGTCGTCATGTTTTAATTTATTTACAGAAATTTGAGGAATTTGAGATGGTATGACTGTTTGTCATCAGGTTTTCATTTGCTGTATGCGAAATGAGCCTTCATACATCCAGTTGAGTTTCATTCATTGCCGTTGAATCTCTGTGTGAAGATATGGTATACATCCTGTGGGAAGGAGAAAGCATAATCATGTTGCTTGAAACGAGATAACAATTAAGTTCCTAATTCTGGGAATTTGTTTTTCTAGAACATTTTCTTCGCTACACAGGCCTAGAGTTCTTGCATTTAGCATGAGGTACTAGATGAAACCTCTTTTCTTCTTTGGAGTGATAACTTGGAAGTTAAACACAAATCCAGCCTCTAAAGATACTTTGAAGATTACTTCAGGTTTGTCTCTCTTTTGCATAAAACTGAAGAGGGATCTTTGGTAAACTATATCTTTGTTACCTCAATTAAACATATACAACCTATATAAACTCCATATGTTCTGTGGATGAGATAAATCTGAACAAAAGATTATAGAATAATCTGCTAAGGCATACTGTGCAAGTTTGAGTATCAACTTGTTCTCTGGACAATACATTTAAAAAGTGCTGGAATTGTTAAGGCTAAAAAATGGCATATGCCTTCATGCCTCTGATACATACATACTGTCATGTAAGTTCTAGGCTTTAGAAACAAATTATTCTCCTGAAATTTTATGGAATTCTAGTCACTTAAATCAGCTAGAGCATCTGTGGCCTTTATTGCAGGCTGCACTGACACTAATATTCAACATTATCTTGTTATTATTCTATCATGAAGGATAGTTTTCTGTCATAAGTCAGAGCTAGAAGCAATTTTCCACCATTGACAATTATTGTTTCCGTGAAGGTGGTCTGCACAGATTTTGCCACAAAGTTGTAAATACAGCAGAGGCCTTTTTTGAGTTTTTATAACATTTTGATTTATGAAAAAGAGAAAAGGAACAGGAGGAGAGCACTGATCCAAAAACCACTAAAACAAATGGTTTTATTTTTCAATTATATTAATTATTAATAAAGTTGCAGCTGGATATATAAGGAAAAAAAAAATCTAAAAAACTTCTTGCTTCTGTTTTTACAGCTAGAATCACTTCACAAATTCCATGACAAGAAAGACCATGGTCAAAAACAAAGGCCATGCCCTCCCTACAAAAAAATAAAATAAAATAAATAAAAATAAAATAAAAATAATAAAAATAAAAATATAAAAATAAAAATGAACAGCTATGACTCTTGGCAGACTTTATGTTCAGTAATTTTTGCGAACACTGTGTACTGAAATATATTCTACATCTCAGAGAAGAAATTACCTCAGTTTCTTCAAAGAGTTCTTCTTCTGCAGTGTCTTCAATCCACCTGATCGGCAACAGGCAAACTTACAATCAATGACCTGGTAAATAATTGGGTTATACATGGCTGCTGACTTTGCAAGCAGAGTTGGTACCACTGAAAACTGAATAGGAACTGAATCTGGCTGTCCAAAGGCTGACCACACAGAGACCACAGCGTAAGGGATCCAGGCAATGAGGAATCCTGCACAGATCAACATTGCCACCTTGTGAGAGGAAAAGAGAAAAGAGAAAAATAAATTAATCTCACACAGTTGTCCTTACTGACAGCACTGCATAGAGCTTGGCAGATTGCAAGGGAACAGGCAACAGAATGGAAAAGAAAAATTAAAACTTGCTTGAAATAAATTTGCAATGTGAACAAAAAATGTATCCTGCTATATTTCATTTTCCTAGATACAAAGGCAGATTGGAAACACCTAATTCTGCATACATGGAATTATTAAAGACACTGGTGCACACTGTCCCCAGAGAGCAGAGCTCAGCACCTGCCCCTCCGCTCCCCTCGTGAGGGAGCTGCACGCCGCCATGAGGCCTCCCCTCAGCCTGCTCTGCTCTGGGCAGAACAAACCAAGGGACCTCAGCTGCTCCTCATACATCTTGCCCTCTAGACCCTTCACCATCTTCACAGCCCTCCTTTGGACATTCCCTAATAGTTAAATGTCTTCCTTATATTTTGGCACCTAAAACTGCACATAATACTTGAGGTGAGGCCGCACCAGTACAGAGTAAAGAAAGACAATTGCTACCCTGAAAAAAAAAAAATAAAATAAAAGTCTATTTTCCATTTCAGAACAAAACAAGAGTGCCTTGGGAAAACAAATTATTAAAATAAATTAATTCAGTGCAAGTCCTCCAGATTCTGAGTCTTTTGAAATCAGATTTGATAGATCATAAAAAGAAAGTCTTTGAAGAAGTTTCCAGGACTGAAGGACTGAAGTGTTGATGGCATGTGAGAGTGCCTCTACAGGTAATTGTTTTAGAGGGGTATGTTCCTGTCTAAGTCTAATATACCTCCCTCTTCTGTAGCACACAGAATCAGTCACTGAGGCAAGAGCAAAGGGAATTAGAAAAAGAAGATAATTCTTTTATTAGAATAATTAAAGAAAAAACAACTTAATAAAAGAAGAGATTGCGACACCCCGATCTAATGCAGGGCTTCTTCCTCTCTCACAGGCTGTGCTTACATCCCACAGAGAAGGCATCAAAACGCAGTGGAACTAATAACCTGCCACAAGGATGGGCATTTGTAAGAGGAGAAGAATTTTGCTGAATGAGCTTCACCTGCTTTCAACCAGGAGAGAGTCTATGGCCTTCCACTAGAATAATGTCAACCATTTTAATTTATTTCAAGACAAATATGGAAAAAGTGAACATGAAGTCATTCAAGAAGACAAGAGATGTCAAGTCCCTGTGAATACTTATTTCAGCAGACAAAACATCAGTATAGTTCCATGTGTAAGATAGAATTGAAACTACCGAGAATTTAATTGAGAGTGATAACAGTAGCACAATATCTAGTTTTCTTTTTCCTTACACTTAGCATGGATTTCATACTCCATTAAAGTCTCCAGATGCTCTGAAAAACAAATTTCTACTGAACTTTTGGATTACATTCCTGATACATTTACTTTATCCAAACCAATCTATCTGCACTGAGTCACATCCTGATATAGCTTCAAATGACATCATGCAATAATACATACTGAAGAACATATGCCATTATACTGCTGCCATTGATCAACTGTTGTTATGCACCCAGACTGACAGTATCATTTATGCATTCATTTGGAATAAGGCAATTAGCAAGACTGCAACAAAAAGTCATCAGAAAGCACAATTTTTTTTGGATCTTGTGGAAACTTTTGTGGACCTTCTGGTTCCACATCCTGATGGTAATATATCTGACAGTGAAATTTGATTCTTTTATGCCTCTTTATTTTCCAACACTGAAGAAATAATGCATGTGAGCTATGGATCTCAAACATAGCTTGTTTTAGAAATAGTCCTGTGGAGTTAGATGGGTTGTGTTGGAGACTCATTGTCTGTATTTACACACACACCAACTACACGGTTGGTCCAAGATAATGTTCTCCACTGTATATCCAAATGGGAAGCAAAAATTACTATTTTTTGACTCAAATCACATTGAAGTTTTACAAGACAACTACCATATGACAAAATAAAAAATAAATGAATAAAAATAAAAATTTGATGCCCTGAATTTCCACCGTTCTTTAAATGAAAGGTGATGAATAACTGCAAAACAGTACAGTAATGAAGCAACCATTTTAAACACAAGTACGGTTTTATCAGAAGTATTGGCAGCCCTGACCTTACTAACTGCTCAGTTATATTCCAACATAAAGTCACACATTGCTATACATTACATAAGTTTATGTTTAACCCCTTAAAAATGAAATAAAATAAATGTTCGATTAGCCAAGAAAAGGATGCTACTTGTCTTGTTCTTGGCCTGGCTTGCAGAGGCTGGGGAGTCTTTTACAACTAAGAAACATGGTTTTGTTTGATAAAAATTTTTACCTTGAGAGATGTCCCAGCACTATAACTAGTATAACCAGCAAGGTTCATAATTATTACCACTGTGAAACAGAAAACAGACTAAATCAGAAAGGGAAAATAGGAAATGGTCTTAGATGGAAAACAGATTTGCATTGGAATGCATTTTTATCAGTGGCTCATGGCTGAACCTAAATGATAAATTATCTTCATAAAAACAATTGCAATATCACAGAAGTGAGTTTGGTTTACATCTTTATTCAAAGAGGAACAAGCAGTCTGAAAGTTTTATTTCTCTGATACAATAATCTGGTTTCTACCTGTTTTCCTGTTATAATTCCTGAGCACCTCTAATGCCTTAAAATAATTCTTTACAACTATTTCTGAAAGAAAAGGCAGTTTTGTGATGGGTAATAGGGCCACAGAGAGATGACATAGCTTGTGTAACATCACACAGGAAGGTAGATCTTCAGACTGAATCATAATCTCAGGGACTCCAAATCTCAGAATCACATAAAAGTGTTTCAGTTTTCAGGGAGCTCTGGAGGTTTTTTGGCCCAATCTGAGTGCCCTGAACAAAAAATTATGTTTCAGCTCTTGCCTTTTCCCATCTTGACAGTAATGGGGGAGAAAGTTGGAAAAATCACTTTCAGATCATACTATCACTCAGCATAGAAAAGCATATTGCTGACATTTTCTAAGCATACTTTTATGATCTGACAGAGCAAATGGAGTTAAATCTCCCTACTTACCTTGGTCAGCTTCATTTCAAGTATGTGGCTGTTCTGGATCCTGGTGTCATAGTGAGCAACCTCTTTGGTGGATGACTTGACTTTTAAAATGATTTTAACATAGGAAAACACAATCACTGCAGTTGGGAACAGGAGGCAAAAGAAAAGAATACTCAGAATAAAAGCCTGCCCAGCCACTGAAGCCTGTGCCAGCCACCAGTCCAGAGTGCACGAGGTCCCAAAAGGCTCAGGAGCATAGCTTCCCACTCCAGCAAAAGGCACCGTTGCCCAGAATGTTGCATAGGCCCAAATTACTGCCAGACAAATAAAGGCATGGTGTCTCTTAAGCCAAGTACCTGGAAGACAATTTAAGAGTTACAACTGGACAAGTTACAAACAAGAGTTACGAGGTCCATATATATTTGACACAATTAAACTCGTCATTCTACACGTTCAGTAAGAGCTTGTTCAGCTGTTTGACAACAACCTTTGCAGGGTTCATTTCACCTCCTCACATGTTTCTATACTGACCCCTGAGCTGACCACCCAGACCAACTTTGTACCTCATGGAATGAAATACATGCCTGTAGGAAGGGCTCCACCTGGCATTATTTTAGGTCTCTACTTTAGGCTGTGATGATTTACAACCTGCAAGTCTATATAAGAACAATCCAAACAGCTAGCTCAGCAACAATCATAGGAATTCCCCTTATATTGGGGGTGGGAGGAGTTATTCCCTCCCAATAAAAGAAAAACATCTTTTCCAACCTGTGACAACATCCTTTAACTGAGAAGACTGAATCATATAATACTTTATATTCAAGAGATATATGATATTGATGCATATGGTGATAACAGCTTTCATTGTTAAATTCATTTCCTCCTCTCAAGATCCAACTCCATATTAGAGAGATAATATCACATTTATTATGACCTTTTGCACATCCAAATCTCTTAGATGTTTTAAATTCTTTGCCACATATCTTAAAATAATTTAGGCATCTAATGAAGAATACTTTTGTGTATCAGACCACAAGACCTTGAAAGATGTGCAGTACTTGAGCCAGTTAACATTAATAGACCTTGATAAATACAAAATGATTTATCTATGAGTGATTACCGAAACTCATGTCTTAAGTAGACGGATGACAGCAAAAAGGATAATATGTCCAGTAATAAAAATTTAGTTACAAATATAGTTGAGATTACTTGGGTCATGAAATATGTTTATTTTATATGTGCATTCCTCTCTATATTTAACAACAGCATTTTGGAGAGCTTAAGTATGATTTCAGTCTAGAAACGTTGCACTACAATGACAGGATAAAAAGCTTAAGATGCTTAATTTATCCAAGGAGAGGGTTTCTGCCACCCAGCAAATGAAATGTAACAGGATCCAACAGCTGACTGTTAAGTTAGAACTTGACCTTTTTTAGAGGGACTAATCAACCATCAGTACAATTTACTCAAAATTACTTTATATCTTAAACAGAAGACTAGCTACCTTAATGATATCATTTAGTTCAATAGAAATTCTGTTTTTGATTCAGAAACATTTAGAATCATAAAATATACTGAGTGGGAAGGGACCCACAAGGGTCATCAAGTCCAACTGCTGACTCCACACAGGGCAGTCTGTAAGTTAAACCATGTATCTAAGAATATTGTCCAAAAGCTTCTTGAACACCAAAAGGCTCAGGGCCATGACCACTTCCCTGGGGAGCCTGCTCCAGTGCCTGACCACCCTCCAAGTGAAGAATTTCTTCCTAATATTCATAATTACATTATGTAGAAAGTTGGCAGAGATGACCAAAGCAATTGTTTCTAGTCATGTAAATCCTTCACTCCCTCATTTATTTGTATCTTATTTGTTTTGTATTTTTTTTCCTTTTATTTCACTATGTGGAAGTGAAAAATAATTTCTAAATGTTCTGTTTCCTTAACCCTTTTGCTCACAGCTCTAATGTCCTAGGTTTTCTTGGCCAGGAGAGGGTAGGAGGAGGTTAAGCAGGGGGATAGTGTCACTATATAGTTTTTCTTCCTTACCATAAGACAAGTGACAGATTTTTAGGTATCTATCCAGGCTGACAGCTGTCATGGTAATAAGGCTCCCACAGCCAAAGAAGAAACCAGCCCATCCATACCAACGGCAGCCCATCCATCCAAACACCCAGCGGTGAGAAAAGAAGGAAATGATACTGAAGGGCTTCCCTACAACTTCAAGAGGAGAAAAGAATGTCAGTTGACTGATAAAATCCATAACTGATTACATCATACTTTTTTTTTTTTCAGTGGAACCAAAACCCTCCTCTTTGCCCAAAACTAACACCAATAAAAATGTTGAGAGTGGCAAGAGGGCTTCAGGGCACAACAGATGTGATTGAGCTGTGTGCCTTCTGTCCACAGGACTAAGCCAAAGACAGCTGTAGCTAGATCTCATAACATCTACACTGTGGTAGGATGAGTCAAACCTGCAGTATGTGTTGGAAGCAAGTGCTTCACTGAAGACCACATGAACCAAAAGTAAACCCACACTTGGGAACTAAGCATGTACAAATTCTTCCCATAGAAAAACTTCAGAGTATGGTTTAAGTCCACTTGTAAACACATTCCAGTACGGTTGATGAGTAAGCCTTCACATGACCAGACATAGTACTAGTGAAGCTGCATCCTTATAATCAAGTAAGTGTCTCCAAACACATCATAAAAAATTTGCATTCAAAGAGGACATATGCAAACCTACCAAAGCCCAACAGTAGGATCCACTCTGTTGTAAAGTGCTAGATTACAAAGGAAGATGGTGCTACAATGGTGCTGCTGTTGGAGTATGGACCTGAGCTGCAGAATGGCTTCAGCTCCTGTCCATACCACACTCTTCCTAAGTGACTCTCAGCAAGTCACCTGGCCACAGATAGTTAAACATTTTAAGCATCCCCAAATGGAAGGTAAATATCTAGCTATTTTGGAGATGCTGCTCTCGTGACTCCTTAGCTCAGTTTTGCATTTGTAAAAATAGAAGGTGCATGATGAAAGAAGTCAGGTTAGGTCATAGGCTGTTTCATTCTTGCCTTAAAACAGACTAACATTATTCAGTCTTCATAGATATCAGGAGAATTAGAAAGTTTGCAAATTGTGATTTGCTAGTTGGAAATCTCCACCTCCTGATTTATTTTTTTTTTTGGTTGGTTGTTTTTTTGTGGGTTGTTGTTTTTGTTTTTGTTTGTTTGTTTGTTTTTGTCTTAAACTGGATGTACACAAAAATCAGTGGAACGGAAAACTCAAGAATTTACAATCTAGGAACATTGGCGTGTTTTCAGAATCCTTCATTTCCACTTACCGTTCTGACCTGAAATGCTCAAAAGTCTGAAGGGTTCAACTGCAACACTCAAGCAACATTAAATATTTAACTCCACCTTTCCGTGACTGTATATTCTTGCACAGAAGTTGCCAGAGCACCTCAAGAGAGTTCAAAACTTCTCTGGCCGCCCTGGGCTAGTTTCTCTGGCTGAACCACAATGTCCGTAATGTCATGGTAGCTTGTGAATTGGTCTATAAATAAGGCAGACATGGTCCTGCAAACTGTAATTTCCATAAGGTAACATTCACGGAAATAAGTTCATAAAAATTCACCAAAGTGATCTGAAGTAAATATTTTGGATTGTTCCCAAAAACATTCCATTTAAAATCAAAGTGATGTGAAATAAAATATTTAATTTTCATTCCCAACAGAAAATCAAAACATTTCTACTAAAACAAAATCCTTCTGAAAAAGGCTTTTACTCTGTTTTCTGTGCCAAAAACATCATTAGAAAAAAAAATAAATCAAAATTAGATGTGTTTTTAAACAATGCCTATTGGGCATCTTTTCCTTTAACATAAGCCTGTAAGGAAAATTCTACCTGACCCTGAAGGCTGTGCTTAGGTCATGTAAGTACACTTTTATGCAAGCAGAAGAAATATGCTGTAATTTGTCAAGCAAAAACTGACCCCAATGATTAAGGTTTCAAGAAAAACATGAAATACAGCAAGGGTTAGGATATATTCTGAGAGTAAGCAACTTTATTCATGTAAATCATTGCTACCTCTAAAGGACATTTATTTGCACAAAATCAAATTTCTCTTCAGCAACACAGGACTCAGCTTGGCATTAGTGTAAAATGAGGATAATACAGTATTAAACAAGTGCCTAGTGCCACCATGTGGAAATCTACAGGAAGCAGGGCTATTGCAGAACCCATTTCTTGAACAAAGTGCCAAGACAAGCAGGTGATATATAAAGGCTCTGGAAAAAGTCTCATCTCCACTGCAATAGGTCTAAAACCAGAACACATCACATTTCTTGAATTAACATCTTCCATAAAAAAAAAAAAAAAAAAAAAAAAAAAAAAAAAAGATTGGAAGACAAAGGAGAGAGGGCACGTTACTGTACCAATCCCAATTATTTTGCATTACATTTTAACACACAGCAATATTAAGGCTCCCATGGAAAACAAGATGACAAAGATAAGTTGTATGCTGTTGTTGACAGACCTAGAGAGAAACTAGAAACCCTCATGTTAAGATTCTTGCTTTCATAGGATTCCCAAACTTGCTGTAATTTGTGTGTTTGGCACCAGAATTACTGGAAGCAGTTCCTCAAACTATGTGCAGTGGCAGCAACAACAAGCTTCATCTCTGAGGGGCTGGGAGACATCATTTTATGTTGTTCTGTGCTATTTTAGGCATTTAGAGTATGAAAAAAAAAATGATGGGAAGAAAAGGGTGTACTGGAGCTGAGGACAGGGGTCATGGAATATGTAAAACATAGGGAGCAGATAACTTTGGGAGCATGGGAACATCCTGCCATTTATATTGTAATGGGGACACTGCATGGTCATAGCTGAGTCCCATCAGGCCTTTGTACTCACTGGATTGCCTGCCATCCAAAATATCCTTTCCTAAAGGATGTCCAGCCCTCTCCCTCTCATTTGCATGTAGCCCTGAGCAGCTTAATGAGATTCATGTCAAGAGCCAAAGAAATTATCTTGACTTTCCAGCTTTGTGTAAGCCTTTACAAAGCTTTCTACTCTCATTCCAGGGCATCCAGGCTGCCAGGTTGAAGTAGAAATCCCTCTAGTTGGCTGATGTTGCTCTTACTCTCTAGACTGAGACAAATGCTTATTTATCTGACATAAAGATAAAAGAGGAAGGTCACTAGCAAGAAAAGCATTAGCTTTGATAGTCTGATGACTGTTAACATTTTTCAAATTTGCTTCCCTCACCCCCATCCCTACTAAGATTTGGCTTGATATGTATTCTCAAAGTACCTGGATCCCTTCTGTTGCACCCTACAGCGAGAAATTTCAATTTTATTCAATATTAATGCAAATGTATTTCATGCTTATTGTGCCAGGATGTTCATGGAAGCTGTCTTTGAAGGTCTGCACAGTCCTGAGGTGAACATGAGCTTTACCTGACATAGAATTGACAAATCCAACCCTATTTTCTCCTCCATACGTTTCACTTATTTTCATCAAGTTGTTCAAGAATGTTGTTTTCTATACTTCTCTACTATTCATATACAGATAAGAGAGAAGAAATATCAGTAACAAAAGGCACTTGGAGCTTTTTAGGACTTCCAGAGGACCGTCTCTTTCTGTTGCCAGAAAGAATGGTGGGATAGTAAAAATTAATAAAAATATGACATGAAATTACCTGAAATGCCCAGATCACACACTGCTAAATTAACAGTCATTATTTCAGCAGGTCTCAACTTCTTTTTTCGCTTTGAAGACATAAAAATAACGTACCCATTTCCCAGAGTTGAAAGAATCCCTATAATAAAAAAGAAAAAGAAAAAAAATAAAGGTAGAGTTCTCCTTAAAAATATCTTCCTTGTGAAATTCTCTGGTATTTTCAGCCTATCTCTTTAGTCCCAAGGCTAGATATTTTACTCTGAAACATGATCATCTCATTGTACAGCTAGTAGAGATATCTACTGCAGATATCTCCCACCCACAACAAATGTTATTTTCCTCTCTGCAGCAAGACATTGCCTTCACTACCTGAGCCTGCAAAGCTATTGAATGAATGCATATAAAAAAATCCCATAGTTCCTCTGTTCTCATCAATCCCCTTTGTCTCACAAGTGTTCATAAAGCCACAAGAATAAAACTAAACGGTCTAATCACAAGGACCCCAATCTCTGAACAGCCTAGATTTTATTCTACACTACAATAAGAGGTTGAAGGATACATTTCTAAAATAATGAAAAATATTTAGATCAATATCACATCTCAAATTTTCCAATAAAAAATAATTTATATCACAATAAGAAAGAAAAAAAAATCTTGATGGTAACTTCCATCTGGAAATCAGTGCATTAAAAGAGATCCTGTTCATATTGTTTGGTCTCTTTTTTAGCCATATCACCATCTAAGACCCATAGAGCCCCATGCTGCAGGTGGTTGATCATCCGTGGAGTTAATCACACTGATCCCTCAAATTCCAGGGTTTCCATTCCCTTAAAGACACCTATTTCTTTACTAATTCATATCTGAAAGAGTTTGGACCTGGAGTGAGTGCTTTGCAGTGAAAAAGTTGTAAAGAACACAACTTCTATTTCAGAAAGCAAGAGTCTCACCCCTACAGATACTGCAGTTTCCATCACCCTGTGCTCTTACTTGAATTGGGTGTAAATGGCCAGATTTTGGTAGTGGGGAGGCTGCAGTGGCCTCTGTGGAGTGAGGATGCGGTTGCCTGGTGGAGCCCTGTGGAGCTACTGCCAATTCCAGCCAACTCCACTGTGGACACACTACAGGCAAAACTGGGCCAGCCAGAGGAGTTTGTCGCACTTCTGTGAAGGTATATTTGAGAAAAGGAGCTAAACATCAAGAAAAATAAAAGAGAAAGCAGGAGTGCCTTCATGGTGCAGCTGGTGACACCCAAAGGGACCATGACCCATGGAGGCCTCATGCCTGAGACATGTAAGTGCAAGGTCCTTCCAAGTGCAAGGTGCTGTCGCTGGGCCAGGCCAATCCCAAGCACAATTACAGGCTGGTCAGAGGATGGACTGAGACAAGCCCTGAGGAGAAGGACCTAGGGGTGTTGGTTGATGAGAAGTTTGATGTGAGTGTGCATTTGCAGACATAAAATTTGCAGACATAAAAGCCAAACTAATGCTGAGCTACATCAAAAGCAGCAAGGCCAGCAGACCACGGGAGGTGATTCTACCCTCTGCTCTGCTCCTGTGAGACCTGGAGTGCTGTGCTCAGCTCTGGAATCTCCAGCACAAGAAGGGCATGGAATTATTAGAATGAGTCCAGAGGAGGGCCATAAGGATGGTCAAAGGGCTGGAGTACTTCTCCTATGAAGACAGGCTGAGAGAGCCTGGAGACAGAAGGCTCCACAAATACCTTCGAACAGCCTTCAAGTACCTAAAGTGGGCCTGCAGGAAAGCTAGGGAGGGACTCTGTTGGGTGGGAGTGATAGGACAGGGAGTAATGGATTTAAACTAGAAGAGAATAGGTTTAAATTAGATATAAGGAAGAAATTCTTTACTCTGAGGGTAGTGAGGCCCTGGCAGGGAGAAGCTGTGGATGCCTCATCACTGGCAGTACCCAAGGCCAGGCTGGATGGGGCTGAGGGCAGCCTGGGCTGGTGGAAAGTGCCCCTGTCCATGGCAGGGGACTGGAAGTAGGTGATCTTTAAGGTCCCTTCCAACCCAAACCATTCCATGATTCTGTATTCTAAGAAGAAGACAAAGAAGAAAAGAGTGACCTCCTTATCTTTATCTCTCCCTATCTAAGCTTTCTCACTTTCGCTCTTCCTGTTTCCTCTCCCATCTCACTGCGAGGGCAGTGAGCAAGTGGCTGGAGGGATGCTTGGCTGCCAGCTGGAGCCAAGCCTTCACACTACTATATAAAAATACATAAATAAATAAATAAATAAATAAGACCTAAATAACCTAGTTTTCCTCTGCTGATGAGACAGCAAAATCATTTTTCATGGTGCCTTCCTACACATTGTGCTGGTGGTGCACACTCAGCTGTATTCCATGTGTTCCAAAAAGAGACCACAGGTCACCATCCACCTAGCCAAGCTGCCATCTCCAAATACACCACATAATTTTCATCAGCTCCTCTTTGCATTCTCTGCTGTGAGGCCAAATCTCAGGAATTAGACCTCAGGAATTAAATAGGTATTTTCTTTGGCCCAGCAATGAAATGATCATCTTGGAAAGGTGCCATGTTTTTCCAGAACCAAGAAACCAAACCTGGGAAAATCTGTGAGGCAGAGAAAAATGGCTTACAGCAGCTAAAACCAGACTATTTCACAAGAAATATGAGGGACTGCAGAACTGAAGGTTTAGTGAACTCAGAAGAAAGGTACTTTGATTTTGAATTTTTCAGTAATAAGTGTAATGCTCATCTAATTGGAAACACTTCCTATTTTTATACTGAAAGTATTGCTTTCTGGAATATTAAAAAAATAAGAATAAACATTATAACAGAAGTTGGCTTATCCTTTAATCTTGGGTTTTCTCAGCAAATTTGATTTATCTTTGGTGAATTAAGTTTAAAGCACATCCCATTTTTATGACTCTGCAAATTTAATCTAAATTATAAGTAGATAAAGATGTGCATTTGATTTTTTTTTCTTTGCAGCTAAGTGAATCACTTTCAGTGTTGCTGAGTGTATTTCATATATCTTAATCTTTTTATACCCATTTTTATCTCCAGTGAAATTAAGGATACCTAGTGTGCCATCATTTTCTTTGAAAGACCTTTCAAAAACACCTGTCATTGTCCTGAATCTTTTTGAACAGACAGGAAGTCCAGAGAGATTTCTTGATCAAATAAGTCTCTGAAGGAAAATTTTATTATTAATAGCTATATTTCAGATGGTCCCAGTTCACTTTCCTCCTAATCCTACAGCTGGAAGGTATCAAGTGATAATTTAAGTCCCCTTTTGCACCTATCATTTCTGACAGTTGCTTATCTGGATTCTTTTTAAACTCATTTATATTAGAAACTTTACAATCTCTCTAGACAAGTCATCTAATGTTTTAGTTTCCCTGCTATTGAAAAGGTTTTGCTAACAGCTATCTAAAGTCCTTGCTGGTGCAAGCTCCCAGCTCTGGTAGGTGATGGTAGGCTGTGTGCTTGGGCAGAGTCCAGAGTTGGAAACATGGAACAAAAGACTCTTCAGACATAAAATAAAGTTTTGTTTTGTTTTTCCATGAGGAAAAGATTCAGGGAAGAACTGTCCATGGCAGTGTAACCCTATTACTTATCTCCAACAATGAGCCAAGGATGCAATAGCTAAAAATGTGACACCTGCAGGGAAAGCTCAAGGTACAGATTGGTAACCTGCAGTGAAAGGCAAAAGCACATGAAAGAAGCAATCTGAACAAATAAGACTCCTTTTCTCCTATCTGAGAGGGGTCTAAACCATCAGAAAATAATAATAATAATAATAACAATTCAGGATTTTGTTTTCAATTAAGGTGTTTTATAATAAACCAAGGAAGTGCACAACAAGTTTGCAAATCAATGGTTACTTGCCATGGGCTTCAGAAGAAGCTGACTGCCAGCAGGTCTCTGCTCGGTAATGAGTCACCCATACAGTGAATCAATCATATCAGTGATGAAAAAGATAGCAGGGAAGTGACAAGGTAAAAATTGTCAGATTCTTAAAAACATGTGTACTGTTTGATTTTTTATTTTTTTAAGGTGATTAAAAAAATACATGTGGAGGTGAACAAGTTAGGATGCTGTCTTACAGAGAATGTACGGTTTGGTCAAGACCCTTGATTTTCTTTAAAAACAGAGAAATGCATTTTTATCTTTAGAAACTGAAATATTTCAGTTTCTGACCCTAAAAACTCTGCCAACTGTCCTGATAGGATCCCAGTCTTGTTCACTCACTGTGAAGCTTCTTCCCATTTTGAACCATATTTTAAGTCCACCTGAACCATATTTTAAGTCCACCTCTCTAACTTCAAGCACAAAGATTCCCAATAGTAATTACCACCTCCCAACTTCCCACTTCTCCACAGCTGGTCTCTACCATCAGGATGTCCATTCCAAACATCCTCAGGATAGCAGAGCATTTCTTGAAGGGATCTGCACAGGAAGAAGAGATGCAATTCAGTGGCAGAAGAAGACCAAGGACAGGTTTGTTCTGAACCACAAGTTTTGATAAGAAGACACAGACATACTGTTACTGGATGCTCCAGCTGTTTTCCATCTTCTACTGATAACACAGTTAACAAAGTAAATCAAGCATGTCTGCAGTACTGCACAATTACCACAACTGTGCCCAAGAGCTATTTAGGAACATAGCTTTTGCTTACTTCTTTGAATACTTGGGAGTTGTGATTAACTATAAGGCTGCCAATTAAAGACCTCAGCAAGCCTGTCATGTGGAATTTGAGCATAGAATCATTTAGGTTGGAAGAGACATCTAAGATCATCTGGTCCATCCTTTAACCTAGTACCCTTGCTAAGTCCACCATGTCAGTGAATTATTTCATTGAGCTACAATTCCTTCCCTGCTACCTCAAACAGAGACCTTATTCACCACCTAAAATCTCTGCACAGCAGTTCATGTTGCAGCAAAAGCAGTGGGGACTCTGAACTTGTAGAAATCAGCTTAGTGGTGAAGAAAATTCAGTGTTATTTTTGTCTGAAGAAAGTAAAATAGCCATCTAGAGATTTTCCTGGGAACAACACGAGTTAATTTTCCTCTAACTTCTCATATTTTTGTATCGCCTAGGATATTATTAAAATGTTGCCATCCACCTACACATGAATGAGTTATAAAATAAGGGTTGGCACAATGACAGGAGCTAGTGTGAGGTATAACCCACACTTAAAACATTAGCCCAAACAAAGTCCTTTTTTTTTTAAAGTAAATGTGTTTAAGACTACTTCTCCCCAGCTATGCACAAGCAGAGAAGGAAGACATAACATTGCTTCATCTACCACTTCTGTTTAGTACCCTCCTTTATTGCCTGAGCTCTTATCTTAGAGGCTGATTTGTAATTCTTCCTTAATGATAAAAAGCATAACACTCTCCTTTTTCAAACAAACCCCTGTGAATAGTTGTATACTTTTCTCAGCCTCTGGCTGAGAAGTAACATCCATTACTGAATTGCAGTGTCAAAAACACTGCTGGTCAAAAACTGGTCTAAAAAACATGAAACCAGTTGCCATAGCTGAAATGGCAGAGGGCACGGCTGACCAACAACCAAGAAATGATTGCTTGAAATCATTGCAATGAAAAAAGTTACACATATAATCAATAGATAAGTTATTTATAAACCCTTTTTAACTATAAAGACAGTCTCCTCACACTCCTCACTTAAGACTACACCTGCATGGTTGGGGTTTGGCTTTTTGCTGGAAATTTATGATTTTTTGCCTTTGCCTTAATTTGAGTCTCCGCTTTTCAAGATGTTTTGCACCTGGCAGGGTTATTTGGAAATGAAAAAATCTATATTAAATACAGCCCATATAAATAGGCAACATAGTATACATTGGAAGAATTAATTTCAGCTCCTCTGACATAATTTTAATGGGATTAAAAATAAGTTTGCTTAACTGAGCAAAAAAAGACCTGAGGGGGGTTATTTTGGACAGTTCAGTGAAGAAATCTCCTTGCACAGTAGCTATAAAAAATATTATTTATATTATACATATATAAAGAATCTGAAGAGTTAAGATACATACAAAATGGTGCATGAATACTGAAAACAGCACAATGATATTAAGCAGAGCAGAGCTACAGCTTCACTTATCAGCTCTATCATTCCGAATTCTTTCTTCACTAAAGACATAAACAGAAGGCATGTTTCATAAACAGAAATAAGTGTTATTCAAGCCTTTGTGAGACTTCCACAGTAGAAAATAAAATTAGATTATTCTTAGATGAGTCAGAGGAAAGGCAGTAAAAGAGGCACGCATGCAAAATAGTGAATGAGAAACATGAAGGTAGGACTGAAAAGTCTTTGTGTTTCGTGCACAAGTAGAATTAGAGAATGAACCGAAAAGAAATGAATGGGAAGGAGTACCCTGTATATCCTGTTTTTAACTGTGGGGTTCAGGTTTCTGAGACCTGGTGCACAGTTTGGTGCGGCACTGTTACACAACCTGGGCTTGGCTTTACTGAGCAAACAGTGTTTGAGCTGTGAGAAAGTAAATCAGCTAAAGCCATAAACACAAGGAAACCCTAATCAAAACCACAAAAAGAAGTGCAACTGCTAAGGCAAGTTAGAAGCTCAAGTATTTGAGAGCAAAAACGTTGACAAAAAAAAAAAAAGTCAGTGCTCCCCAAAAAGCAAAAACTCAGATCGTAAATCAGCAAGAACAAGGACTTGCTTATTCTTAGAAGTAATGGAGACCAGTGTTTCCCAACTGAATGACAACTGCCTGGCATATGAATGAACGTAGCTATCATCTCTGTGCACTAGCCAATAAATAATTGCATTTATTCTGCTTACAAAGTCACTTTGCACACAGGGAAAGACTCCGAAACAAAATGTAGGTGAAGGTCATGGGCAGAAAATGCTGTTTGATATAGTAAGTAACAGAGGACAGCTGATGTCAGGAGCCGAGCAAGGTTTGAGCAAACACATCTGAGGATGTTCTTTCTTAATGCATGGGCACATGAGAGAGACTTTGAAAATCCACACAGTGTAAGAGAAGAAGACATCTCTGGTCAGGAACGATCAAACTGCAGGCTAGCAACCTATCATTAGAAATAGAAAGTTTCTTCACTTTTCACTGGAAGGTCCACTAGTTTTCACATTTGACTAGCTGGAGCAGCATTGTCTGTTGACATTAACCATATTTCTAATATCTTCCCTCCTCTCCCTCCTAGATTCTTCTTTCTGGTATGGCTATGCAATTACGCATCCAATGCACTACAGCTTCTACCTTCTTTGTGAATGCCTGCAAGGATTCAGTGACATATTCATATTTCAAAGTTGAATTAAAAAATCATTACCAATTACTGTCAAATAAAACCCAGCTATGATGTCAGCTTCTCTAGAAAGCTTTGATGCAAAGGGGTCTTCCTTCTGTAGGTAGTGTGGGAGGTACTCTTCCTGGGAGGAAGCGTTGTGATCTGATGCCATCCCATTCATGACCAGCTCAGTGTCTGGGAAAAAAAAAAAAAAAAAAAAGGAAGAACAGAGTATGCAATAGATAACACATGCCACAAGAAATTGTGAAGATAATTTTCTTCATACATAATATGTTTCCTCCCATCTCCATTGCTGTTCTACCAGCTCCCAGGGCATTTCATGATCCAATTCAAAATTGCATAAAGCATTCTGACATATTTTATTTCAGGTCTTTATTTATCCCAGAATGTCATGATTCATATTGCAATCACCATAGTAATCCATGCGAACAATATCTAAAAACCAGTGTGTTCTGGCATGCAAGCCAGGGTCTCTGAAGTACCTTCCCTGAATATCTTAAGGAGCTTCATGTTTCCAGACAAGTGACCCAGAAGTGACCCAAGACTGAGAACCTGGGAAAAAGAAGTAGGGCAATTGCTGATGTCTGAATAGCTTCATAGTCCGATGTGTTAATGCATGCTGAACTTAATGTCTTTATCTATATGCACTGTTCTTATAATCCCGAGAAACTGGGAATTATCAGTTAGACAGTCCTAGCAATTTCTTCATATCCTGAGGGGCACTGTCTACAGACTTGAGCTGTGCAAATTTCACAGTAAAATGAAGAGCTGTATCTATAAATAATCCTTAGAATTATTTAGCTGGGTTCTCATGTAAATAACTTCACATGATTATGGCTATAAACACTAATTGGTATTATGGTTATGAAGAAGCAGCAGGAGTATTAAATAAGACTCACCTAGGCAGGCTGGTTAAGTTTCCTACTTCTTTTGGAGGAAAATGGTGAAATGAGCTTAAGATGAATAAGGTGAACCCTGATAATGGAAAAATACATGTAGAATCTGGCAGACATCCTTGCAGGTTGAGAGGCTGACACTAGACCAATATAGACTGGGTTGTTGTCTACAGGTGCCTCTTCTTGACCCTGAACGAGGCAGGACTCCACAACAAGGTGTCTACCTTTAAACATCTCAAAGGAACATCAGGTGTCCATGCTTAGGCAGTTGAATCGAGCTCTGTATCTACATTAGGATGCAAGGACTCACCCTCATGGATACCTGGAAACTACAGCATCTTTTTCTTTTGTAGATGCCCATGACAGAAACATCAGATTTGGATAAGATAAATGGTGTCTAATTTACAGGGGCTTAAAGTTCAGAAGATCAGTGATGCCCTTAATATTAAACAAACAAACAAACAAACAAATAAAAAACAGTTTCACTTTGCCTGGCCAGTGCAGAATTAGGCCTATTTCCTGGTATGAAGAAAGACTGGCTCTTACTGTTAGCTTCATAGGCTGCTGCTCAAGGAATGCTCATGCACATTTAAGCAAGACAAGGGGGAAAGAATCATTTTATTTAACTCTACTGCAAAGGTGAGAGAGAAACAAATGCTGCCTTTAACACCTAACATTTTGTTTTCCTCCAGAGAAGACAAATAGTGTTTTTGTTAAAAAAGACTTACCCCACCTCCTTGATCTCAGATATATGTGTATTCCCTCACCTTCCACATCAGAGCTCTGCAACATGCAGCCAAAGATGCTGCAGTTCAGACATGTTTCAAGAATTCAGAGATACTCAATATTCCCCTAGAAAAGCATTTCATTATTTAACCAATTCTCTGTCTCTTCTGCATCCTGAAGGCAGACAGTCTTCTCACTAACAGCCCTGTGTAGCCACAGACATACCTGATGACACTTACCTACAACTAAAGTACCCATATATCTCTCCCTGCTGTCTCTCAAACTTTGGGGAAAACAATAAATAAGCAAACAAATAAACAACAACAACAATAAAAAACTCAATTTATGAGGATCAGGCCTTGGGTGAACATTACAACTCCATGGGAAAAACCAGGTTTGATAAGGTTTGAGTTTGATAGAAATAAGTATCGAAGTGTTTTGGGGCTTCTTCCTTTCCTGAGACATATTAAAATTTCCCACTCATCTTATTATTTGGTTGTTCATGAGAACAATATCATTTAATTTGCAAGCACGCATGAAAGAGTAGCTTTAGAGAAGAAGTCTCAACTTCTTTACATGCTATCCCTAGCCAGAAACTCAGTCATTAGACTCTTCAACCTGCCTCTGAAGGAAAGGTGCAGATTTCCAAACAAGTCACGGCTATGAGGTGGAAGGAAGGCTTCGCTGATGAAACTGGACAGCTTCAATGTGGGAGATATTGCTGTTTTTCTCAATATAAGTCATTACCTGCTTGGAAATGTTAATGTTATTACAGAGTAGTTCTATCTGGCTGAAGAAAAAGAAGAAAACTACTTATCTTGGCTTTAAGCAAAGGTAAATTAAGGGTAAAAGAAGTTTCAGATATGAGAAGATCAAAACCAGGTCTTTGCCTGATTTACATAAAAAGTGTTCCAGTGAGATATAATATACAATTTAAATACCAGATTATGGTTTTAAAATAGTTATATCCTCCTGATTAGGCTGGAAGTAATTGTGCCCCCAAAATGAAACTCTATTCAAGAAGTAAATTTCACTTTTATAGGGAAAAAAAAAAAAAAAAAAAAGAATGCAATTAACAAGGCAGAATAATTATGCCTCTCATAATTCCATGTCAAGAAAAGCCATAATCCTGATCAGCATCCAATTCCTACAAAGGCTTGGGTAAAAACAACTAAGGATGGGGATAATTTTTAAACTATCAGGGAAAGCCTAGTATATTTAGGAGATGTATATTTTCCAATATTAATTATTTCATAAGCAAAGATTTGAACTACTAACCCTATTAGTTTGTCTTGTTTTATGCATTTGATTTTTTAAGACACCACAGTATTATAATGCCTTATAACGGTCATAAAGGCTCTGATCCACAGCCTCTAAAAGTTAATAAGTCAGGGAAAGAGACCATATAACGTTATTTTAATATAAACTTTGGTGATATAAGTGATATGTATATGTGGCAATCTCCATTGTTTTCAGGTTCCTGTAAACCTCTAAAACATCAAGTTATCAGACAGGTGAGCTATAAGATTCAGATTATGCTTTCTGCCACATGGCTAAACTAAGTATTGGCAGTTGCAGGCTAAACTTGAATACCCTAATCTAAATTAGTAAGAAAACATATTTAAACTGATGTTAGCTTGCCAAAAAAAAATTTAAAAAAATGATGCATTCTATTTATGAAGAACAGCCAACTGATATGAAACGGGAAAAGTATTTTCGTAACTTTGCGAGGAAATGAGGGAAATATAAACACCAACCATTTTCCTAAAAACATCTGGAAAAAAATAAAAACATGGTGTAGCTCAGAGGCAAAAGTTATCCAGTATGAGAATGAGCAGTATGCAGCACATGTCACAGAATCACAGAAAGGGAGCTACAACTAGATGCTGTCAAAAGAGTCCTCTGCAAAAATTATTGTGGCAGCAGTGCTTTTAACATGACTGTTTCACAAGAGAGAACAAGGAGTGGATTATATGCAAAGTCATGGACCACATATAAATTTTGCAATCCTTTTTGGAAGCAGATGAATTTACCGGGATGTAAATTGTAGAGTGAAACAAAAGACATCCGTGGACCCCTGTGCAAGTGCAGAGAAATAATTAGCAGAGCTCACTTTAAAAGAGCTATCACAGCTAAAGTGATAACATTATGAAGTATGTTAATTAAGAAACTAACTTTCTTTTCTCTCACAATATGTAGTAAGTCTTAAAAAAATATATATATATGAAAACTATGAATAATTTTATCTGATTAAGTAAAAGACAAAAGCTATAAGGATATATTAGTGCCAGAGGGTACTGTTTTCAATAGGGGAAAAGGGAATGATCTTTCTCTTTTCTTTGTCCAGTGATAGCCATTTCTCAGATTCTCCATAACAAAGTTAGTTAGCTCTCAATGTCAGCTGAAAGCGAGTTCATATTGTCAGATGTAATTTTTATTTTAATCATTTAATTTTTGTTTTAAATTTCTATTTTATTTTTAATAATTTTTTATTTTAAACATCCCCTGTATTTTGCAGAGCACGTTGTGCAAGCATGGGACATGGGAGACACGGGCAAATGCCCCCATGGGCATTGACTTTTCCTCCTGCATCCATCCTGGCTGCTACAATGATAACATTTACCAACACACCTGGTGACAAATGCTGCTCTTCCCTTTATCTGCCTGATTCTCAGTACTCATTTTTCTCCAGTTTGACAGTGTTTCTCCAGACTTGTTTTCTGATAGTGGCATGCCTCCTTAGTCAACAGTCTGACTAGCTGCTGTATTTCAGAAGGTAGATAATAGTGACCAGAAAACTCATCTCAAAACAATCACAGAGCACCATACTTGCCTTGCCTTGCCTTGATTCACCTTGCCTCTTCATTTTTTTCCCTCCTAAGATATCTGAAGAGACTTGTTTAAGAAAGATGGTCATGACTTAATCTCAGTTTAAGTGTAAAGTCTGCGGACTCAGGCTATGAGCTGGAATCTGTCTTTTCCTTAGTAGATAACTTGTTTACCCACCAGGCTGATGGTTATTCTAAGGTAGATTCTCTCACTCCTGTTGAAGGGGATCATCACCTTCAGTAATTATTCGCTAGGTTAAAAGTTCAAACTAATATTTCCTATATTTCAAGTGAGCACTGTGCTCTGTCACATCAAACTGCTGCTTTTGATCTAGTATCAACAGAAATAATAAAAATTTAAATGTCACATATTCCTCCCATAATAGAGAATCAGAAAACTTTTGGAAATCAACTTTTTGGATGTAGATACTGGGAAAATACCTATCACCAATCTGCCCAACCAATGTAATATAACATCACATAGCAAAACTGGAAGGGCAGGGATAGGAGAAAACCTAGAGTCAGATTTATGTGACTCCCATCTCAGGCTAAACACCCTGCTGAAAGGTGGAATCAAAATTTCGGATCAAAGCCCCAGATAGTGCTTCTGTCTTTTTGGTCTTAAAAGTATGCAGTAAAACTTGCTGCTGAGTTTTGAAACAATGCAATGATTATAAAAATTGATGCAATAATAAATTCACAAGTAATTATGTGGGTGTCCACA